TTGTAAATAATATTTATAAGAAACTGACATCTGCCTAAGATGTGTCTTTTATGAATCAACAATATGTTGGCAAACAATGTAACATAACATGCATAACATGCATAAACAAACCCATGATGTTATTCCTCAGTGAATCACATAATGTTGCTGAGTGAGTGGTGCCTATCTACCAATTTTAGGGGGATCTGAAATTGATTCATATCTACTGCACAAAGAATATTCAAAAAAAGACCTTTTTTATAAAGATTCACCTAGCAGATATTTATTTATTCATTCGGGGGAATGTATTCATATGTTTATCAACCTGTAATGATAAGAAGAATTTAATAGTACAGAAGTAAACGAAGAGAATAAATGTACCATAGAGGTAATTACCTCCTTCAATGTGTATCCCAGTACTTTACACTGATCTTGATTTAAAGGGTCAAGATTCTCTAATGCCTCTGTGAATTCTTCCTCGGAAAAAAGAGTTGAGGTGTTGCTAGGAGGTGAAGTGCTTGGTGGTTTTGCAGTACACTGTAGCTGTGAAGCTGTGACAGTTGTACAGGGTGGTACTGCAGGCTGTGATGGACGGATTTTTGTAGCTGTTGAACATTTAAAAACAAATATTGGTAAGAAGCCAAAATGACATGCTCTTAAACTGCAATAAACTAAGGTTATGTAAATGTTAACAGTTATGTCAAATTCGTATCCATGCCTTCTGTTATGATCATTGTACAGATTATAGTATCAGTTTGTGAATGTGACAATGAACTTTTAAGAACACACTTTACCATTTTTAGTTTGACTTCGTGATGTCTCCTGAATTGCATAGGGAAATTCATCAGATGCACTACTACCTATAAGTATAAGCATCACAGCATGACTATTACAAACGTGTCAATTGAAAAGTAACAAATTTCAGGATGAATACAAAATAATTATGCACTGCTGTGATATTTTCTTTGCGAACACGAGTGAGAAAAAAGGCAACAATCAGTTGTTCATGAACCCGTTTCTATGGAAACAATGACTTTGCAATTTCTCTGTTGTGGTAAAAGTACTTTGGTACCCATTTTGGATTGGAAAATGGACAAAATACACACAATTCAGGCTCACAATTCAACATTAATACATCGGCTGATTGGCATGCATAGTCTGAAGGCAAACTTTTTTCACCAAGAATGACAAAAACATATTTACTAAAATTAGAAATTTGAAGTTACATGTCACCCAAGACACCTTTTTAAAAGGTATCAAAATCATATGGTCAAAAGACTTTCAAAAGTCAAAATTATTATCCCTGCATCAACCAGGCCTGGTTGGGTACAACTGATTGCAGACCTTAAAAAAGGTCCCACATCCATTACATGAATCGTTGCCAGCAGTTTTGACCTGATAACTCTGGGAAAAGAAGTTAACCCTTTTTTGTTCTGCAGATCAGAAGTCTTAATCAATTTTACAATAGACCAGATAATATTATTCACATCATGCAACATAAGGAGACATTGACTCAAGGTGGCTGGATTTCAAGAGAAAAATAAACAATTTATTTTATCCAAAATGACAACTATTCACTAAAATTAGTGATATTATCACAAAACAAACATATCTGATATAAGTCTGACCTAAATATCAAGTATCAAAGCACAAGAAATGTAGTTTTTAAGAAAAATGTCTTTTCTTTTTATAATTTCACTTCATTTCTATCTCCTGTTTCATTTCTTGTGCATTGAGCATTAACAGAAGTACTTACTTATTGATACTTTCTCTAATCCAGAGGCAAGATCATCAGATGCACTACTACCTATAATTATAATTATAAACAAAATTATTATATATTGATTAAGGACGAGAACGTGTTTTAGATTTCCAATTATAAACTTTTCAGTGCATACAAACATCACTATTAATGTACATATTGCACCTTAGGTTGCAGTGGATGTTAGAACGATCATGACAATATTGGAGATATGCTACCTATCATACTACACTCACAGTGCCAAAAAAGCAGTTGGAAATGTATATTACACCACACACACGACTACAAGGTAATGCACAAGTCGGATTTAAGACATGGCAAGCAACTTAAATAATTAGCAGATCTCTATTAACAAATACATGACAATGAACAAAATTTTATTTGAATCAGCTTTCTATGGAAACAATGACTTTGCAATTTCCCCCATAGCTTTACACATACTTTGGTGGTCATTTTGGATTGTAAAAATAGGCAAAATACATACAGTCTGAGCTTCTAATGTTTTATTATACTTCAGAGAACTTACATTCGCTCATGTCATGTCATCAAAATTAAAAACCAGAATAAAAGAATTTTACATCAAATGTGAGTATTCATACTCAGATTTACACTTAAAATATGCATGTTTTAATTCATATAGGACATGCAGAATATATAGTAATTATTGCCCAATTGAAAAGCAAAATGTTACAAGAATCACTGTAGTTTTCCTGCCATCTAAAGTTTGGACACCTGGCAATAATGAGTTCTAAACGGGCTTGATATAGCTACTTAGGATGGACAAGGTTTAGTGAAAATTGGAACCCCTAGCAAATCAGGTGACTTGTCTCATCTGATTAAATATGTGTAAACAAACTTCACATGAAGAAGTACAATAACAATATAACTCATTGTTTCCCTTTCAAGTTCTTAAAAAAGCAGTGCAATTGCTCAAAACATCAGAATAGAGACTTAAATGTCAGGAAAAATAAAAATGGTTTTACAAAGAATAACAAATCAAAAGAAATATAAACATATGGAAAAATAAACAAATGTGTTTTTTCTGTACAAACATGTTCATGCTTTAAAAACAAAATAAATATGTACCTTGGGATAAAGGTAAAGATTGCACTTTTTCAGCAGCATCCAAGAATTTCATCTCAACTAGTTTGCGATGTAACACTGATGCTGTAGCCTTTGACCCACATCGTCTTTTCCATGAATCCAACATTGAATATTTCTGAGTTTCAATATCATCCGGATTATTATGTATAATCGTATCAATCTGAACTCTGGTCACATCAAGAGCAAGACAAAATTTCTTACAATCTTGTAGGATTAATTCTTTACAGATAATTGAGATGGCTTGACCTGTCGCGTCTTCTGCAGAATGACAATAATGAATTGATTCAATTAAAACCCCAAGACAGCTTAGGCTGTTTTCAATTGTTGCACTACTAAGCATATTACTGCGTATATATGCAAAGCATTGTGAAGATCTTCCTATCGTTTGGAATGGAAAACTATTATTAAACTATTATTCAGACTCTGGTGTGTCATATTTTTTTCATTCTCAATATTCATAATAATAGATGATTTTCTTCGTTTACTGCAAGATCTCGCGATATTTGCGGGAGTGGCGTGGACCAAAGGACTGTCGCAAAAGTGATATGATTTTGAACTTGAATTTCTTTTGTTTCAAGAATAAGTGATGATTTTTTTCTACAACATTTTGAGTATATGAACTTAAGATGATTGACAATGTCAGGAAATTGCAATAGTCACTTGCGTGGATAAAGGTGTGATAGGTGTAAGTGGTGGTATAGTCCTGGATTTGACATGTAAACATGCAAGTTAAAACCACTTCTCGGTTCAGGACAATGAAGATTTAGACAATTGGACTGTGGGAATGGTAAATTAACCTTTGAACAAATACTACTCCCGTGTACATTTTTACCTAAAACTAATCAAATTTGCACATTGGCCCAGAGCATCTATGCACCAAGTTTCATCAAAAACCGATGTATGGTTCTTGAGATAGCAGTAGAAAAGACACACACACACACACACACACACACACACACACACACACACACAGACACACACACAGACACACAGACAGACACACTAACTCCCTTTTTGTGCTTGGCACACGGGAGTCAAAAACAGCATGTGCCAAGTTTTAAACTATTTGTGAGCAAACAGCATATCAACAAAACATTCTGAAAGTAGTTAATTAGTATGCAAATTAGCTTAATAATATGTACTTTGTAACACATCACACCTGAAGTTCGTCACAACAGCGGTTCATGAGATATTGTTGGAACAAGATTTCACAAATGCATCCATCCACAAATACAGAAGCTAGAAATATATTATCACACACCTGCTGATAAAAAAGGTTTCAGATTTTCTGCAACATTTTTCAATTCCAACTCAACCAATTTGTGATATAACTCATTTACATGCATAGACGGCTTGTATGGACACTTTTTTTTCCACAGATATAACATTGACTCCTTCTGCATTTCAGCATCACGTGGATATGTTTGCCCAATGCCATCAATTTCATCTTGAGTTAATCTGAGTTTCCGAGATAAGTTTTTACATTCTGATACTGTTAGTTCATTACAGACCTTGTGGATAGCACTGTCAGTGGCATCAACTTCTTCAATATTAAACAAAAAATTACTATTTATTATAAACTACTTTGAAGTTACATCATATAATTTAGCCATTCATACTCTATGCAAATTAAAATTATTTTTTATGCAAAATAGCAATGGTCACCAATGCTGTATTTTTTGATTACATGTACTTCCTTCTATGAATGAATGATTGTAATAAAGAAATATATTCTGAAAGATAACTAGAACGTCAAATACAACATCTTTGTTTAAACCATGAATAGTTTACATTATATAAATTAGCCATTCATACTTTATGCAAATTAACATTATTTGTTATGCAAAATAGCCATGGTCACACCACTAATGCTGTATTTTTTTATTACATGTATTTCCTTCTATGAATGACTGGTTTAAATAAAATAAAATAAAATTAAATTAAATTAAATTAAATTAAATTAAATTAAATTAAATTAAATTAAATTAAATTAAATTAAATTAAATTAAAACATGCCACGCATGGCACAATTCATGTTAGTTATGAAACTTAAGATATATAGTTTTGTTTATAGTAATATAGTTGGAACATAAACATGTCAGAGATATGGATCCAGAGGATGATGCCTGGTTATGATGATTTTTTTAACATTGAAATGATTGATATTCAGTCATCTTGTTTCTGATTTTCAAACGAGTACTTGTCCATATTGAGAAGTATTGCTCTGGAACAGCATTAATTGAAACAAAATGGCCACTGGTTAGCCATAACGATTATCTATAACATGTGTATAATGAATATATAAAATTTGAACATAATCAGTCAAATCATGTAAGAAAGATGGCTCTAGAACCGCATTCATTGAAAAAATGGCCTGCAGTCTGCTATTTTGAATCTGATTTAAAAAATAAAATGACATGCATCAAGGTCCATTAATGTCCAACATAAGTACCAAGTTTAAACAAAATTCTAGATTTTGATGATTTTTCAGCCCATAAAAGGTTGCTATTTGGCCATTTTGATTCAGATAGTCAATAGTCAAACCAATATATCTATGACATGATCTATAATAAACATAATCAGTCAAAGCATGGCAGAGAACTGCATTGAGAAAAACAAAATGGCTGCTATACAGCAATTTTAAATTCGATCTGAAAAACAAAATGACATGCATAAGGTCCCATAATGACCAACATCCAATAATGTACCAAGTTTGAACAAAATCCATCTAAAAATTCTTGATTTTGATGATTTTTCAGTACAAAAATGGCCGCCATTCGGCCATCTTGAATCAAATCGTGGAACAAATTGCTGTGCATATGTATAATATAATGCATGATATATGTGTGACGTTTGGATGTAATCGGTCCAAGCATGTCTAAGATATATGTCCGGACGCACACACTTACGCACGAATACATGGACGCACATAGGCCTGTCTAGCTAGCAAGTATTTTTTAAGATCATTATTGGAAATACAAAATTTATTTTATTTATATCATCCACAGAAACATGTTGCACATATGATAGAAATAAAATATTGTCATAGAATGTTTTAAGACTGACATTATCTAATAAATAATGTCTATAGGTTGGAAAAGGTGCATGACAATGTTTCATGAAAAAGAATACCTTAAAATATACATGGGACAATACAGGATAACTTCCACACTCTCTCTATGCATACTTATTTATTATTATACATCTGCCACCGTAACGCCATAAGATAGAAACAGTGTGCTGTAATTTTGCAGTATTTTACAGGTATTTTCATCCTACCATATTAGGAAATGCAAATTCCAAATATGGAATTATTACATGCGTAAGTGTCCTCTAATGATAAAAATAAACATTATGTATGCCTGGGAGGAAAAGATGTATAATAATAAGGTTATTATGAAGACTTTGCAGTATCCTCGTAATAACCTCATAATACCAGAGGTACATTACTTGGGGTTTGCAACACGCATAGTACTGTATGGTGACATTATGTCAAGATCCCATCCAAGTCTCATCTCGTAGATAGCGAGACTGATGCTACGACCTCGTAATAATCAATAAAACATGTATTACCACATTCATAGTGAAAAAATGTAATACATCGAAAATATACAGAAAATATAGTTATCGTATTCCGTCATATCATGAGCAGCTATTTTGATCCACCTAGACATCCCAGTATCCTAGTTACCTCGGGCATGCGCATTCGCATTTTTCTGAGTTGGAACGCTTATGCAAGAGCGAGATTGAAACAGGATCTTGGTATCATGTCACCGTAGATGCAAACCCCAAGTAATATACCTCTGATAATACTTATTTATTATAATTATACCTTGCTGTGCATGGACTTTGTGTTCAAGCCAACCTTCTTCTTTTAATTTCTTTGCTAGTTCAGGATGAGGTTTTTCACAAGCTTCTACAAACCTCTTAAATGCGTTTGGTCCTTTACGACATATGATATCAACAAGTTCTCTGGCCTACATGACATACATATAAATGTAAGAAGAATTTAGTAAGGTAATTGTTTTAATGAACATTTATGTTTAAAAGCTTAAATCAATATACAAGAAAAGTGCCATTTTTCACTTATCCCTGATAACAGTTTTATTCTGAACAAGCAGCCTCTTGGCTGAACAAGTCTGAAAGAGGTCAGCCTGAGGTACCTATGTCTATGATACCAGAGCAATCAGACTTGCGGAATCAAAAATGAAAAAAAAAAATCATCAAAATCAGAGAATTGAAGATATCATTACAAAATGAACAAATCTAAGAGAGGTCTACCCAAGATACAACTAGTATCAAAGCAATCTAGCTTCACGAGTCACGCCAGTTGTGCCCTCCACGATGCTCCAAGATGTTGTTTGGCCAGTGAGGGTCGTACTACACCTATTTGTCAGGCTACAAAGCAATCAGACTTGTAGTTTTTAAGAAGTCGAAAAAGAAAAAAGTTAATGCAGACGCCATTGGATGACAACTGATAATTACTCATATGATAAGCTCTGCTCGACAAAGTCTTCAGCGGGGCTAAAAGCCTGCCTCCTAACCACAAGGGTCACGAGCTTGATTACCGTAGATACTGCATGAATTAACCAAAATGGGCCAATTGGCTTGTCAACAACAGTTTTTGCCAATAAACGACCAACATTTCATTTGAGAGTAGGGACATTAAGTGCTATGCAACTCAAAATTAGGTAAAAGAAAAAAATGCAAAATATATAGTTCTAACCTTCATAATTTTTTATGATCTCTCTTCAAAACAAAATTGATAATGTTTTATATGGTGATATATTAGGGATTAGCCATGATTATTATTACCACAATATTGTAAATCACAAATACGGTAGTTTATATGATTGTTGCTATGGCAATTACAATTCTTATCAACTTATCAACAAAAGAGGTCACTCATGATAGCCATATACCAAGTCACAAAGCAATTGAGCTGGTACATTGTAGTTTTCTAGAAAAGTGGAAAATAGTATTAATTACCAAAAATGCCAAAAATAATCGTTAAAAATAGAAAACTAAAGACATCTGACAGATGACAGATGTCTACCCAAGGATACCAAGTATAATAGCAATTGAGCTGCCAGTTTTTTTTTATTAAATCAAAAAATCAGCAAAAGACAAAAATAATTGCTAATCAAAGAAAGCTTAGAATGAAGAGTATCAAAGACATATTTAAAATTACTTGCACCTCTGATATTGACAGAAAAGTCCTACAGCATCTATGTACCAAGTTTCATTGAAATGTCATGAGTAGTGCTTGAGATATCCATGGAAAAGCTAAAAATTAACTAATTATGCAAATTAGGTAATTAATATGCACGGATATTAACCTAAATCTATCAGGTTTGTCCATTGTCCATCAAGTTTCATTAAATTGTGATGATGAGTACTTGAGATACCAGTGGAAAAAAATTACTGATTATTATGCAAATTAGGTAATTAATATGCACAGATTTTTACCCAAAACTAACCAAATCTGTGCATTAGTCCAGACAATTTATGTACCGAGTTTCATCAAAATCCAACGAGTGGCTCAACATGGAACATTAAAAAATTAGCTAATTATCATGCAAATTAGATAATTAATATACAGGGATTTTTACTAAAAGCTAATCAAATTTGCACATTTTCCCAAAGCATATATGCATCAAGTTTCATCAATGGTTCTTGAGATATCATTGGAATGGACAGACACACACACACATATCTTCACGTCGTACAATCGTTGTGACCGCACATTGGATTAACTTTTAATAAAGTTGAATTAACTTTTAATATAGTTGCGATATGAACTTGATTAAAACGCATTTATATATAGGGTTGAGTTTTAATTGGCGTTCAATTAAACTCAATTACAATGCAATACAAAGTAGAATTGCATTTTAATTAAATAGAGGTTGATAATGACAGAACATAACATTTTTTTATGAAGCTTAGGTTTAGTAAAGGGAGTAGGTATGGTACAATTATATTAATATAAATTGAACCATACTTTCCCCCTTTACTAAATCTAAGCTATGCAAACGTGACTTAAATTCGATTAAATATTAAATAGTGCTTGATTAAATATTAAATAGTGAGGTTAGGTCCTGAAGTCACATGTTGGTGTAAAGTTAAATGAAAGTCACAATGTTGGTACCATACATGTACATGCACATACTCACAGACACACACACACACACGTACATACATACAGATGGTAGTCAAACCTTCAATCTCTCTGTTGCTAGGCAACATGTTAACCATTAAGCCACACATAAGGTTGGCCAATTTCATGAGTACAAATCATATTTTGTTTGGTAACCAAAATTTAATCTTGTTGAAAATTTTAGTTTACAAATAGTTGGCCTTTATGTTTATTTCAACTCTTTTTCCGTAAATTGTGTGGGCGTTATGTCCTGTCTCCCCCCCCCCCTCCACACACACACACGTGTACCATACATAAATAAAATTTATCTTATCTTACATAATAGCGACATACCATTAAACAACATGTTAAATTTCATATAGTCGATATACTGTTGGTTTAAAATGCAAATCTATATATAGAACAGCAATTTAAATTCTTTTAAATTGCAACTCTATATAAAATGTAAAAAAAGCAAAAACAACATCATACAATTTGTAACTTAATGTACAAGATAGTACAGTTAATATATATATACCTTACCCTATTCTAAAACACAAGGTTCTATTGTATTAAATATTATTGTAAATTAATATGAAAAATAGTGAGAGTCATTACTTGGTCATGCCTGTCATTGTCGATGTATGAAATTCATCACTACGTTAACTCCGCACATGCACACACATTTCTAATCGCCAACTCCTCATATGATTACCTTGGCAATTTTCGTAGGCTTGCCTTTAATATTTTGTTCATCTTCTTCATCAATTGTCTGAAATACAACAACACTTTCATTTTCAAAGGGTTGGAGATGATCGCGTTGTCTTCATTAAATGATGTATTCATATGTAAAAAAAGGCACATGCAATTATATCTTATCTATAGATGTTTGTAACTGACAGACATAAACAGTTGTAAGTTTCACTCGGTAATTAAAAAACAATTACGATCTTATAATCTTGTGTTCACACTAGAAATTCTAACAAGAGGTGTAAAAATGGCGGCTGCTGAATACTGTAAAGTGACTAATTTTCACTGGGTTTAAATTTCGCTGATTTACCATTTCAGGCGTATTCAGTGGGATTTAATTTCACGGTTTTATCATTTAGAAAATGTGTTCTATGCTAAATTTTACATATTCACTGGGTTTTAATTTAGCGTATTTTCCAGTCAGCGAAATAAGCAAAATTAAAACCCAATGAATAATTAATCCCTTTACAGTAATGTGCAAAATGGCACTGACTCGTAGACAGGCAATATTCTGGCTAACAATATATTTATGTCTTCTGTGGATTTTTTCATTCGAACAGTAGTTAGATAACATTTATGGGCCATGTAAAATACCATTATAATAATTTTACATACATAGAAAAATTTGTTGAACCTAATCTGTTGTTAGCCCTATCTTGAAACTAGTCATCATACTTTGAGTTTAACAAAGTATACAGGTCAATATAACAACTGCCTTAAAATCTAAACCTCATTGCAGGTCTGCCTATTTTGAAATTAGATAAACTTACAGGTGACTGACTTAAACTAAAACAATTTTACATAGTTGTAACATGTTCATATCTGTTTTACTTTTACACCAATGTAACTTAAGTCATTTCCAAAGACTCTGCCATATGATAATGATGATACGATTGTTTTTTGATCATGAAAATCTAAATAAAAATTGTCAAAGAGTATTTAATAATGACTTAAGGTAGCGGGACTATTATTTGCATACTTGTTTGTGACTAAATGACTACAAATAGACCCGGGAAAGTATATATTTTTAGAATCGCCAGACTTCAAGCTTTTCACAAGTGTATTTTGCATGCCCGTATCTGCAATCTACGACGCGTTACTCAATCAAAGGTGAAAAATTACTTTTTCTGTAAAAAAAATAATTACGCATTTATGCTGGCGATAAGAAGTATTTTTTTCACTTTTCCTAGTTGTTCAATAGTCTGGTAAATTGAATGTGTCTGGTTAGTTTTATTCAAGCAACGCGTTTTAAAAAATAGTGTCCTGAATTTCAATTACTGTTTTAGTCGCATTGCCCCCAACTCAAACCACAACTCGTTGGTAAATAATCGATGAAATAGTTTGTCTGGACACATTCAAGTTCCTCTCATTGTCATCTTAAAGCTGTGAAAATTTGGTGTTAATCCAACGACAATAAGTATACGTTATTTTTTGTTAAAGACCTTGTATTTTGAAAAACATAAACTCCTAGAAAACGTCCATAAATTAACAGCAAAGATTTTCGAGCTTGTTTATCGGCATAATCAATTTGTTTTTCCATCAAGGTCTGTTTTAACATGTGTAGGGACATCCAAATGTGTAAGGCTATTGGAAACCAAAAAAATAAAGGAATGGGATAGCTATAATTGGATAAATTCGGCATATGAAAACACCAAAATCAATGATTTTTTTTCAGTGGCTGTGTGACCTTGTGTCTGACACATTCATATGCAAATGACTAATCTGTGAAACAAACAGGGGCGGACACAAACCACTCAAATGTTTGGAAACACTCATTGTGTGTCAGATAGCTACTGATAACACATCCTAACATTGCTTTGTCTTGAGTTTATCTTTGAAACTTATATGCACACAGATTAAACCTGTGTTGTTGATTTTGGAAAACACTACTGAGGCTGCCTTGCTTCCCTTCAGAAAATCTATATTTTAACCAACTTACATGACATTCTATGTTATATTGACTTTATCATATGAAAGTTTATGGTGCATTTCATCAATTAATAAATAAATGTGAAAATCGTAATTTTCAACACAAATAATAGTCTCACTACCTTAACACAAAATGGCTGCCACCCAATAGAGTTTGGAGTTCCATTGTTATCTTAGAAACAATTTCACTATGTGAACAGTGGATAGCTTATCAGAGCGCCGGAAACCAGGTAAACCAGAAAATAAATTTCTCAAGCTAGACTTGAACCCCCGCCACGGGAACCGACTGATAGCGCTATAACTTGACACTTGTTTATTAACTTACACAACAAACAGATGTGCCTCAGTAAGCCATTATCTTGTCTTGGTCAAGATCTCAAAGTAATATTCACAGTATATGATACTTAGGAACGATGTCAAAAGATCGATGTCTGATAAAAAACTTATTTGCTTTAGTTTGGGGGTGGGGGGGGGGTGGACCTCAAAAAGTTTCCATCCTACAAAAACGATTTTATTTTTTAATGAAGTCAAAAAAATCTTGGAGTATTTGTAGTTCGTTTTTTTTCTATCCAATCATGGACAGAAATAATAGAAAATGAAAAAAAAACACACAAGACGAGAAAATGGTTTGGTCCGAGCATAAATATGTGCGTCAAATGAGGTGCATTTGTAAAGTCTTTTTACACCCACCCGACAACCAACTACTATGCCATACTACTGTCTGATTATCAATTTGTATTTAATGGTGAATGTAGTCTGACGCCATTACCAATATTTATCAATTAAGTTTCAGTGGGGGGTGGGGGGTTTTGAAAGAAACTAAAGGAATTAAGTTTTTTATCCAACATCGATCTTTTGACATCGTCCCTTATACATGTGTCTTGGTTTTATTTTGAAAAAATTTTGAAATTTTATTTTGTTTGCTACAAAAGCAGGACAGCATTTTCATTTTAACACTGGCACAATCACTATAATAAGTGCATGTCTGCAAATATATATTGCATATAAATAATAATTCAGGCCAGGCCATGCATGTATTTGAACATCTTGAATAAATAAGTTAAAACATATACCTTTGTTCATGAAAATGCAGCCACAGGATAGTCACCACAAATAACTTCCAATACCAACCAGGGCAACCAGGGCAACTTAAGGAATATAGTGTTTGATTTATTATACATGTACTATAAGTGGATGATGAATGGGCCATTCCAGTTTATATCTGCGAGCCCCCCCCCCCCCCCCCCCCTGAATACCCCGGAATTCCAACTGTATATGGAGAAACAGAATCTGGAAATCCAGACGAGTATGGAAAAAAATTCCTGGAAATCCAGGCAGTTATGGCTACTAAATAAAATATGGCCTAGTTTATCTCGCCACATACCGGTTGATGAGGTTGGATTTCCAACAGTATGACTAAAAAAACTTGGAATTCTGACTGTATATGGTAAAAAAATTGGGCCAGTATGAAATAGTTATTACTGAAATTAGATAAGGATGGTGGCACGATTGAGCTCATCAACACCGTGAATCAGGACTACCGGTAGCTTGGATTTCTATTATCAAATATAAAATTTTGAACTTGGTAATCTAGCATATGATGAGAGTTATATTTGGAAATCCTACTCTGTATGGTGGCACAATAGAACTCATCAACACCATAAGTAGGAACTATAGTTTTGGATTTCCATTACTGTATGGTGAATGGTGATTTGGAAATAAAACTTTGTATGACTTATACACCCATGGAAATTATACCCTGTATGGAGTAAACTCACAAACTCATCAACAGGGGGTGCAGATATAAACTGGAATGGCCCAATAGAAACATTAGTCCCGGGGGTGGCAAGAATTAATTAAGGTCATAATTCCAGAAGACCTACACTTTATGCAATTTTTTTTAATTATGCTAATTTATTCATGACATGGCAGCTTCTGTGCTCATGAATATTCATTAATTTGTGGGTCATTCCAAAAAAAGGCTATATATTATTGTGGGGGGAAAGAAGAAAAAGGAGTAAGAAAGGAGGAATTAGCCATCAAGTTTGAATGGTGGATATTAATTGATCGAGAGTTTTTTACACCAAAATAAGTATCAAATATTTGTCCACACATTCGTTCTCTCAATTTAACAACTTGTAATGGTGGAAATTAATTGATCGAGAGTTGTTTACACCAAAATAAGTCTAAAATATTTGTTGAGACATTTGTTTTCTCAATTTAACAAATTGTAATGGTGGAAATTAATTGATCGAGAGTTGTTTACACCAAAAAAGTATCAAATATTTGTCCACACATTTATTCTCTCAATTTAACAAGTTTGAATGGTGGAAATTAATTAAACCAGACATGTTTAATCCAGAGGTGGTGGCACTAAATTTGGCATGGGGGGGGGGGGGGTCTGCTCATCAATGTCACGCCTGGACCCTCTATTAAAACGCTATTTCCTCCATTTTGAAGGGCAAATTTTAATATATGCTGACACAAAGGGGGCAGTGATAATATGTGTTCTTTATGGTCCACTCTTCCTCGATAAACAAGGACATGAGCGGCAATTTAGTCAAAGACAAAAAAATTGAAAAAGAAATAAGCCTTATATACATTTATATACTTTTATTTCTTTTTTGTATTTTATATATATATATATATATATTTTCTGTATCTTTTAATCTTTATTGTATGTTAGTCCAGATCTCAATGGAGATAGGTTGACAATAAAGTTATTATTATTACATTATCGACAATAGACGCTGACCAGCAAGTTCCCCTCTATCTTATTATGTTTTTATTTTTCATTTTATTTGTATTTTGTCTTGCCATTTTGTATATATCTGAAAGTTTATTGTATTATAAAAATCCAGATTCTGAACAGGATATGATTTCAATAAAGGCATTATTATTATTACATCACATGGTGATATACTAGTATAAGAGTATGCAAATGAGTTAATGAGGAGCCTTGTTTTAAAATACATAAAAATAAAATTGGTGTAGAATGAGTTTGTAACCTATTTTTTCACTTTAAAAATGTATTTTGTACCTAAAAAATAATAGTATTGATGCACCTATAGATGATTTTGGGCCAGAAAATAGCAGGCATTTCACAGGCACTTCAAATAACTCACCGTGACCTGTGTTATGCAACCTCGACACAAACTGCCGACCACTGTCTCCCTAAACTCAATGGCAAACGTGTTCGCATTCACAAAAAAAGTTTTCTGCCTGCACCATTTCCAGAGTCTCTAATTGCCCACCCCTAAGCCTGTGAAATGGGGTCGTACAACTTATAACTCAACTGTGTAGACGGCAAATTAATTGCGGTATAAACACAGTCAGCT